AGCACTTATTCTATTGAGCTATCTGCCCAGTTCTGTGCTGTCTTCTGATTTAAAAAAAAATAATTGCAATTAAGAAGATTAGTCTTCTTTGTACCATTTAGTAGCTGTTGGATCCATTTTTCATCTGCTCTTGTTTTTTTACTAGTTCGTCATTGAAAACAGCCCTACTTTCTAAATCTGTCACTCATCACATTAGAAACTTCTTCTGCTGATCCTTTTGATGGCATTTTTGTAGAGGGAGAGAGCCTCAGTATGTAGTTCAGGCTGGCCCTGAACTGACTCTGGAGTGCTGGGTAGCCTCAAACCCACAGTGATCCTCCTGCCTCAGGTTTTTTTTTTTTTAAGAATTGTTATTTATTTATTTATTCATTCATTTATTTTGTGTGTGTGGCCAGTTCAGCCCACGGGGGGAGGGGGATGCTGGCTGGCTTGTGGTGCTGGGGGACTGAACCGTGGTCCCTGTGCTTTGCTTTGCTTAGCTTAGCTTGTTCTAAGTAGGTGCTTTAGACCACTGAGCTATCTCACCAGCCCGTGCCTCAGGTTTTTTAAATTTATTTTTTATTTTATTTTTTAATTTTAGGGGAGGGTCTACAGGGTGTTCAGGGTCTCACTACTAGATCAGACTCATAGTGATCTGCCTCAAGATTCCTAAGAGCTGGGATTACAGGCATGTGCCACCATGCAAAGTCTCAAAGGATTTTTTATTTTTTATTATTTATTTTTTGGTGGCTCAGGCTGCCTGAAGGACAGATCTGGTAAGGCAGGTGGAGCTGGGGCTTGAACCTTGGTATCCTGCTTCTGACTGCCTTTGCATGAGCAGGAGCTTAAACAACTGAGTTAAGGGCAGCCCCCTGCCCCACCTCACTTTCTTGAGTGCTAATGTTGCTGGTGTGCACTAGGACACCTGACTTGAGAGAATTGTAATCTCTTGAATTTCTGTTTGGAGACTTTTTTTTTTTTTTTTTTGGTGTGGTACCAGGGATTGAACTCAGGACCCTACACTTGCCAAGCAAGAACTTATTCTACTGAGCTATCTCCCTGGCCCAAAAATGGCAGAAGCATTTTTTTTTTTGGGGGGGGGAGGGCTGTCTGAGAATGCCTTCAGGGCAGGTCCGGGGATCAAACCACAGCATCCTGAGGGTGACTGTTGTGTGTAAGCAGGCACTTAAACAACTGAGCTAATAGACAGGCCCCCGAGTTTGGAGACTTTTTATGGACTTTGATTCTTTTTCTTTTTTTTGGCAGAACCGGGGATTGAACTTAGTCCCTTGCTCTTGTCAGGGAAGCACTTATTCCACTGAACCATCTCTGCAGCCCCTGATTCTTTTTCATAATGCCCATGTGTGTTTGTGCTGCTTTGGTTTGCTGTTTTAGGCTCTTATTAATATATTCCCTACACTGGGTGATGTGTTTGGCACAATATAGTACTACTTACAGCTTCTTCTATGAGCTTTCCCAGCATCTTATTAATCTGTTTGCTCTCTCTCATATATATATATATATATATATATATATATATTTTTTAGTACAGGGAATTTTTAATATTTCTGGTGTGGAGCTTTGTGGTTTCCTTTTCTTCTCTGCTGCATGGATCAGCTTTCAGGCGGTTGGGAGCTTTTGTGGTATCTTGTTGGCTTGTCTTCCCAAGCTTTCTTTTTTGTTCGTTTGTTTGGCGTGTGTATTAAGGTTTGCAGAGTGATTTCAGTGGAGCACATTGTTTTTGTGTGGAGACTTCCTTAGTCAATGTCTACTTTTCAGTCGCGTCCACTAGGGGGCGCTAACGGCTGGCCTTCGTCTCGGTCTCAGGATCCTTCCACTTCTGTTTACCTGAGCTGAGAGTGTGCAGCCTATTTGGGTCGGGTTCCTGTTTCACTGGGATGGGCCACAGCACTGTTAATGACCCCAAGGTAAACCGGATACTGGGATTTCCCCAAAGAACCAGCTAAGAGCAACAGCCATGCCTCTTTGGTTATAGTAATAAAATCTCCATCAATTATAGAATCAAATACAAACTGAATATTGAGAAGCCCTAAGGACCAATAAAGTGCCTCCTTTTAACTTATCTGAAGAGGTCTATGAGTGTTGGATGAATACTAAGACAAACCTTTTTTTTTTTTTTTTTTTTTTTTTTTTTTTTTTTTTTTTTTTTTTTTTTTTTTTTTTTAAGTATTTGGTTGTTATAGGGTTTCACCACACAGCTTGGACTCGTGGTGATCCTTCTGCTTTCAGCCTCCCCAGCGCTGGGATGTGCCGTCACAGCCAGAATCAGTGCTGGCTTAGCCCGCCCTGGTGGCAGTGCTGGCGTGGCATGTGTTGCCAAGGACTGAACCATGGTCCCGCTCTGTGCCTAAGCTTGGCTAAGCAGGTGCTTAGATAGCTCGGCTGAGCTATCTCGTTGAACCCAACAAACTAAATATTGAAATACTATTGACCTACATTAAGTGTTTTCTAGGGGCCAGGGAGATGGCTCAGTAGAACAAGTGTTTGCCTGGCAAGCTCAAGGGCATTCCTGGTTCCGCAAAAAAAAAAAAAAAAAAAAAGTGTTTACTAAACAGAACATCACTTCTACTAACAATACAGCAGCATTCAAGAACAAGAACACAAAGTTAACTAGCTATCTAGAAATTCCCAAAGCTGACAAGTTATACTAGTAAACATGGATGGAGTGGGGATACACCAAACAAAAATGGCTAAATTTGAAAGCTTAATCAATGAGTGGTGAGAAGCAGGAGACAAAAGTGAGAGAGCAGCTTTTATTGAGGAATAAAAGGAATTAATAATGATAGAGAATAGTCACAGCAAGAATGAATAAGAAAAAGAACTAAAAAGATAAACAGTGAACACAAACATAAAAGAAGGGTTAGAAGAAAGAGAAAAAAGCTGAAAGAGAAGAGACAAAAAGGGATGAAAGGGGCCGGGGAGATGGCTCAGTAGGATAAGCGCTTGACTGGCAAATGTAAGGATCTGAGTTCAATCCCTGGTTCTGCAAAAAAAAAAAAAAAAAAAAGAGATGAAAGAAACTAAAAGGGGAAGAGGATAGCATGTATGCTCAAACATCCCACTGATGGAAAGATAAAAATAATATAAATAGAAAAATTAAAGACAATCAAATTACAGGGTCAAATTCCCATGTTATGGAGTGAGTGATTTCTTCACAAGCTCCGCAGTCCTGGGATCCGGTCTGCCATGACTTTCCACGCCCAGCTTTAGGGCCGACGGGTTTCTGAGGTGCCCTTCCTGCACACATCTCCTCCATCTGCTCACTGCATTGCGGTTACCGTCCAGGCCACAGTGTCCTTGTGCCCCTGGCTGGAAAGGGACATAGCCAGTTCACTGGCCTCTGTGGATGCAGGCCAAACGGTGGGCTTTCAAGCGGGCTTCTGGACTTCAGGTCCACAGGCATGAGCACTGTCCTCCTCCATGATCAGTGGAGGGCGGTGAGCTCAGCCTCCCTCCACTGCCCATGCCAAAGGGACGTGAAATGTGGAGTCAGCTTGGAGCTTCAGGCGGTGTGTGCCTTGCGTCAGGCTTTCCGTGCCTCCGGTGGGAACCCGCTTATTTCCTTGAGGAAGATACGGCTCCTCCAGCCTGGATCCGCTTGCACCTGTGGAGGGGGCATCACTCATCCAGCGTGGCTTGCTGGCTTGAGTGCATCTCCGAATGTACTTAAGCTAGAAGATGGATGATGTGTTCAGCAGCATTAATGGAAAACAAAGCTAAACTAAGAAGCTGCTGCCTAAGTGCTCCCGGGGAGTGTGTCTCACTGCATGAATTTCCGATTGCAGCTGTAACAGATCATGGTGGACTTTGTGATACTGAGATCACAGCAGGATCCACTTCATCAAATCAAGGTGTCAGCAGCCTGCCATCTGGAGGCTCTTGGGGAGAAACCATGTCCCCACCTTCCTCGCTCCTAGCCCAGCCAAGTTCCCTTACTGCTGGCCTCTGAGTGCACTGTCTTATCTCTCAGAGCTCTGCTACTGTCTGCCCAGTTCCTAAGATCCCTCCCATAACCACCTCTGCAGAAGGCTTTATGTCATGGGAAGTGCCGCCGTGGTAGATTCCAGAGATTAGGACACGGATGTCTTCTTCATTTTGGAACTGGAAATTGAACTCAGGTCCTCATACAAGTAGGCAAGAATTTTAGTGCTTTGGAATTTATTTGGAAGTAGTTTAACCCCAACTGTGATCCTCCTGTCTCAGCCTCTGGAGTAGCTGGGATTGCAGGCGTGCACCACTTGGCTTCTTCCCTTTCTTCAGAACACTCGTTGTCCCTGTAGATACAACAGCTCTCACTTGTGGGGGCTCCAGCTCGGCCTCCAGGACTAAAGCAAGTCTATGTGTAGGGCTTAGGTTTAGGGTTCATGGGGCCTCAGGATCAAAGTCCAGGGTTCCACGTCTGAGACTGTAGAGGAAGACTTGAGTCAAGAGTGAGCTCACCTCTGGGAGTGGATGCTGAGTCGCAGAGGAATTTATGACTTGAACTTGACCCAGGTTCAGCAGTCAGGAGGCTGTAGCAATGGGGAAGTGAGCACCAGTATTTGAAAGAGGAGCAGAGGCAGGTGTGGCGTTGGTCCTACCGTTTCGCTTAACTTAGAGGAGGAAGCGAGCAACAGGACCTCTCCCATGCTGGGGCGTGGGGAGTAGGTGAGGCCCAGTGTTCTCCCCCGGGTAGCGACACCTGGCAGGCTGCAGAAACAGGCTCGCCCTCTCCTACCTTTGCACTTTCTCTCTTCTCTCCAGTAAAGGTCAATTTTATGTTAATTTACAGGAAAGAGAAACCTAAGTTCAGATGCTACCACAGAAGAACCTGGAAACTTACTTGGTAACTTAAAGACATCCACCGATCCCCAAGTTTCCCTCCTGGTCCACTCCCTGTGTAGCGCAGACACCAGGGGTGGCCACAGCCCAGGAATGAGTCACCTTGTGTCCCCACAAATGGCAAAGGGCTCACCTGGAGAGACAAGGTCCAGGCACACTGCTGGCAGGAGCGCCCAGGGAGCAGCGCCGCACAGGAAGGAGGCCGAGAGAGCAGCATGACTTCTGGGACAGGTAGGGGTCCCCGGCAGGCACAGGGCTCCCCCTGCCTTCTGCCCCTGCCTCCCGGTGGCTAGGTCTGTGGACTGGTGCTGTACACTGCAAAAAACTGTGTGTGTGTGACCTGCTTATGCTGTGTGCTTCGATGTTTTCCAACTTTCCTTTATATGTTAAGATTAATATATTAATATTATTCTTAAGGATGCAGTATCTTGATCAAATGATACTCGATCAGTGTTGGTTTCATCATAATGAAAAATTAAGTAAGAACATAACTGTTGAAACAATCTTTCAAGACAAGAGTGAAGCGCAAGTCCCTCTACGGGTGGGTTTACAATGGTTAAGGCATTAGTGCACAATTCCTCAGAGCTGGAAGAATGTCTGGAGGGGGAGGGGACTTCTGGCTGCGGAATGAAGTGATTTTAGATGAGGTGGGATTGGAGCTGGGTCCTAAGGGAAGGCCAGAATTTGGACTGGCCAAAGCAGGAGTTAGGAGTGTTGGCAGGGACTGCAGCCCCGAATCTTGAAGAGGTTGAGGCAGGAGGACTTCAACTCTGAGGCCAGATAGGGCTACTTAATGGGACCATGTCTCTAAAAGTAAAATAAAATAAAATGAAATGTGCTGGGGATGTAACTCAGTGGTAGAATATCCCTGTGTTTGATTCCCAGTACTACAAAAAACAAAAAACAAAACAAACAAAAAACCAAAAAAAGAAAAAAGCAAGATTCCTGGTTGACTGAATACTGCTGAAATAATGAATCGGCGAGTTGAATTAGCAGAACTAGAATCAGCTCTTAGCTCAGGGCATGCCAGTTGCTGTGTCCAGCCAGCATACCTCAGGCTGCCCACCTACTCAGTGCCTGCTCACGGGCTAAGTAAACTGTCTATTACACTCTCTCATTACGACTACTTGTCGTGGGCTAGTTCCTGTTGAATGTTGTTATTTATGAATTAAATGATGAAAATATTTTAATGGCTAAATGGGTGGTGGAATAATACATACAGGTGCTACCGCTTTTGAGCTCTGTCACAAGGTTGAAATACATGTTCAAAAGACAGAGATTGATTAAGGTAGGAAAATATGTTTGTGTGGGGTGACTGGATTTGTGTGCAGCAATTTCTGTACTCCTGAAAGTACAAGACACTACTGTGAGGTCACACAGAAGTAGGCACTAGGGACCTCTGGGAAGTTACTTTGTCATCTCAGCAAATCATTGCTTCTCTTCTCTTTTTCTTCTAATTTTTTTAAATGCATGTATTTATTTGGTACAGGGTCTTGCTACACAGCTTGGACTCATAGTGATCCTCCTGTCTCAGCCTCCCCAGTGCTGGGACTACAGGTGTGTGCCACCATGCCTGGTTTCAGTGGCTGGCACGGTGCACCCAGGGTTCTGTGGCCAGCACAGCATGCAGTACCGGGGATTGAACCTGGGTCCTTGCCCTTGCCGGGCAGGCGCTGAGACCGCCACATTATCTCCCTGGCCTCAGCACTGAACCATTTCCAACAGCAGGGCTGCCATGATCTGGTTTGGCTGGCGAGAAGAAGTGCTAGACACAGAGCCCAAGGTTGGAGGTCAGGCAAGTGCTCCATTCCTGAGCTGCAGCCCCCACCTGCATTACCAGGTTCAGGATGAAGTATCTGGGAAAACAGCCCTCAGCAGACTAAAAAAAAAATAAATAAAAGAAAAAGAAAAAGGAAAGAATTGCTTTTCTGTGGTCTCAAAATTGCAGGACCCATACAATGAGTCCACGAGAGCCTCTTCTAAGTCTGTTTTCAGATGTGATATGCAGGGCTAGAGAGCTCGAGCACGCTTCTGAGCAGCTGGTCTGTACCCGGATGTCATCTGACGTGGTCTTCTGTTGGTCAACAGGTCCTTCAGCGGGAGACACCACTCTGAGGTAAGGAATAGTGGCCCAGGGCCATTCCCTTCAACAGGAATAAACAGTATAACAACATGGGACAATAGCACTGTGTAAGACTGCAATTGCTGCTTTCCCCCCTTTACTATGTTTTCATTCTTTCTTTTTGCCTTTTACAACTTGATTTTCTGATTATTGTTTTTCTATCTTTCCTGCTGGATCCTTTGGTTTCTCCTTAATTACCTTTCAGCTTGCTCCTCCGCTGCCTTACTGTCCTCTTCTGTCATGTTCAATCACATTTCTTAGAGCCCCTTGGTGAAAAGCCTGGAGAACCTGTCACTTCAAGCTTATCTTCCTGTTTTATATTGGCTGCCAATTTCTCAGACTCTTTCTAAGCAGCAGAGCATGCCAGGAAATAGAGCGTGTCCTAAAGAAGGGAAAGAAGGGCTGGCCTGTGGGCTTCCTGGCTGTGGTACCTCAGGATGGTGGGGACAACCTCTGACCTAACTGCTCACAAAGCAGGGTCCCCGCACAGTCCTGCATTGCCTGAGCTGAAGCACTTTGTCTCTGTCTCTGTCTCTGTCTCTGTCTCTGTGTCTGTCTGTCTGTGTCTCTCTCTGTCTCTCTGTCTCTCTCTGTCTCTCTCTCCCCCCTCCTCCTCTCTCTTCATTGTTTTCAGATGGCCTCCTACTCTGTTGGCCTCATCTCTAAGTCCTCCTGCTTCAGCACCCCAAGTAGCCAGGATTACCATCATACCCCACCACCTCTGGTTTAAAGTACTTTCTCAGATCCAGCTAGCAAGTCTTATGGCCAGAAGATGGCTAGAGACATCAACTTACTACAGTCCGGTTAGAGTGCCCTGAGGAATAGACACCTCTGGGTGGGAAGCAGAAAGTTAGTACATGAAAAGAACCTTCAAGGGGCAACAGGAGGGACTAAAACCACCACCTTCAGGCCTGCCACTCAGAGATGTTGGGCCAGTCCTCAGTGCTGTGCAGGGAAGAAGCCTTTACCCCAGTTAGGACAGGGAGATTCTGAGAACTGAAGGACCTCTGTGCTGACTGGGACATGGCCTAAGAGCAGATCCTGGGCGGCTGCGCTTCACACTGCCTGACAGAAGAGGGGGGTGTGCCCCGATGTCCCAGGACCCCCCTCAAGGCTTGGTGACAACACGGGTTCCTTTCGCATTTCAGGAGGAGAATCGAGCCCTGGGAGTTCAAAGACTCCTTTGACCCCCACCAGCTGCGGAAGGAGACCCGGCTGCTCTCCGAGGTGTGGTGGGGGAAGAGTTCCAGGCCTTGGCGAGAGTCCAGGCAGAACGCTACCCATCACGTGGAGATGAACTTTATAGAAAAGTTCACTTCAGAGAGACATCTGCGCCCTCATGTCTGCTGTTCCATCACCTGGTTCCTGTCCTGGAGCCCCTGCTGGGAGTGTGCCAAAGCCATCAGAGAGTTTGTGAGCCAGCACCCGAAGGTGAGACTCGTGATTTATGTCGCAAGGCTGTACTGGCACCTGGATGAGCAAAACCGGCAAGGACTCAGGGCCCTGGTGGCCGGCGGCGTGCACGTGCAGATCATGAGCGACTCAGGTAACGCGCGAGCGCCGAGAGGGCGTGTGTCCGGGAGCTGGTGGTGACGGCTGCCCGTGTAGACGAGCTGGCGGTCCTGGGCTGGACTCCCAGCAGTGAGGAGATGTCCCAGCTGACACTGACCTAGAGATGGGCAGGCCCAGCTCCAAGGGCACGCGGGCGGGGCCAGGGCTCACTGCTCCCACCTGCCTCTGTATCCTCCCAGGGGGCTGTTCCCGGGGAGCGGGGGTGGGAAGCTAGGGTTTTGCCCGGTCACACACTGGTGCTGTACATACCTGCAGCCACCCAAGTGACTTGTGTTCTTTCCCGGGTTGTCGCCCATGTCGAGCGGCAAGCAGGCTGAAGTCTTTGCAGACAGCGTGTATGCGGATACATCTATGTCCCCTTTACACACGGAACTGTTCATCGATTTTGGTCCTAGCGCTTGCCTCAGGGCCTCACACCTTCTCTTTCAAGAGCTGGACCCCAGCATCCTTGATTTTTCACAGTGGATATTTAAGCTGGAGGGCTATTGTGTTCTTTACCACTGTGTTTGATGAATGAGCCGAGGTCTGTGCTTCCTTAGACTACGGTTACTGCTGGAGGAATTTCGTCAACTACCCACCAGGGCAGGAGGCAGCCTGGCCGCGATTCCTGCCTGTGTGGACAGCGCTGTACGCACTGGAGCTCAGCTGCATTCTTCTAGTAAGTGGCTGCAGGGACACAGTGCTGGTGCCGGGAGAAGCTTCCTGGTCCGAAGTTCCTTCCTGAGAATTTGTTCTTTTGCCAGAACCGGGATTTGCACCTGGGACCCTGCACTTGCCAGGCAAGTGCTTATTCTACTGAGCTCTCTCCATGGCCCCCTTCCTGAGAACTCGGCGAATGTGCTCTGACTATTTTCACACAGAGATTCTGTCATTCAACTACGTGTCTCACGTGAAGAATACATGAGCGGGGCTGGTGAGATGGCTCAGTGGTCTAAAGCACCTACTTAGAACAAGCTTAGCAAAGCACAGGGACCGCGGTTCAATCTCCCAGCACCAC